TCCAGTTTTGCAAATACTGAATTTGTTGTCAGAATCTTTTCAGTAGTTATCCTTTGTCAAAGCCTACGTTTTTTTTTGTTTGACTCACGCTTGATACTCTGCTTTTCAGGCATATACGTTTGCAATTATCTACGATGTTTTTTTGAAATTCTCATTTGACGCAAAGAGCGGGAGCCAGCACCGTTCGAAGTCAATCTGTTGCGCTAACGTCAACGTTGAAAAATGGAAAACTGCACTAGCATCCTGAGATACTGGGAAGAACTTGATCCGAACAGGTTCGACCTCATCGACAGTAATCCAATGTTCTACTGCAACGGGCCAATACTGACGTTCGTCATTTCTTTTGGCATTGTTGGCAATATCATTTGCATTATAGTATTCGTGCGAACTAATCGATGGCCTAAACTCAATTGCTACTTGCTTACTCTAGCTGTGTGGGATATAATCCTCATCACATCTTCATTCTTTTTGTATAATTTACCAGTGTTGTTGTACGACGAGGTTCTTAATCACGGAAACCACGTCCTGGCATACCCCTTTCTGTACAGCGCCAGTAACATGGCCCATAGCGCGTCGATATGGGCAGTGTTGGCGATGAGCATCGAGCGATACTATGCGATCTGTCATCCGCTGAGGCATCGCATACTCAACGATCGCGTATGGTACGTGACTGTTGTGCTGGTCAGCGTTCTGGCTATCATCCTAGGACTGCCTCGCTATTTCGAAATGAGGCTCGGTCAGTGCCGGAATCAGACAAGCGGCGTTTCGGTGCCAGTGGTGACCAGCAGCAGTCTGCAACTGAATACTACCTACCGATTACTCTACAAAATCATTGGAGATATCGTCTTCTACTCAGTGGGTCCATTTTTTCTGCTTATTTTCATTGCGCTACAAATATCGAAGCATATGAACAATTACAAGATGGTACAGGAATCTCTTCGGTTGACCCTTGGCCCTCATCGGAGTCACTACACTGGCGTATCGGCTCTGCAGAGGAAGAAAATTCAGAGAAACATTGATTTCTTGCTGTTGGCAATGATAATCAAGTTTCTGGCGTGTCACTCGCTACCGACTGTGTTGGATTTGTACGAAATCGTTACCCCCGCGGAAGTATTCGCTTCAAAGACCGTCAGCTATCTGGTGGACACGTCCAACTTTCTGGTCATGGTCAACAGCAGCTGCAACGTTCTCATCTACCTGAGCTGTAGTCCGTCGTTCCGCAGACGCTTCTTTCCCTATCGTCTGAGGAGAAGGACTGCGCAGAAGTTTCAGTGTTTGCGTTACTGTCTTGTCAAGGTTGGGCAGCAGCCGCGAACCAACGGTGAAACCTATGATTCTTTGCACGGTTGACGTTTCCACTGTGTTAAAATAACAAAATTAGCACAAATAAAATTATCGTTTGAAAGAAAACCGCGCTTGCGAGGTTAAACAGCTGAAGACAGGTACTGATGTGAAAATGTGGCATTTTTTACTTACACCTTAAGCGAAGATCATTTTGACCACACAGGCCTTCTCCATGTCTCAGCAAGCGCTGATCAGCGACGCTGTTAGCATGAACACGCTGAAGTTTAGTTAGTATGGTGTTTGACATGAGTACCGTAAGAAGTACAGAACAGTTGCGTTCTCCAGTAATACGAAAAAAGCAAGTAACTCGTAGTCTGTTTTGCAGAGCAGCGTTTTTAAAATGACTAAAAAGTGGAGATGAAGTTGCAACAGAGGTAAACACTGGTACAGGAAAAAAATAGAAGTCACCTGATGGCGTAAACAGCCAAAACACAATCAGGATTTTAAGGCGATTGCATTGTTTTATTACAAGAGTCCACCCAGTCCGGATGTTAGGGTGTAGTGCTGATGGACACATCTAACATCCATAGAATGGAATATACAACAGCTCAATCTTTGACGCTAATCGGAAACCTATGTTTCTCAGTCTCCTATCTACCTAAAGTCCATGTCCCGAAGTTTTAGCCCCACACGGCATAAGACCAGTATAAGCGATATGGCACATCATTGCGAAAATGAGGCGCTGAGATAGACCTTCAGCGACTAGTCAAGAATTTGACATTGAGGATGTATATTGGTCCTTGAAAAAATTAGTCACGGGGAAGAGTAAAGAAGATAGGGGAAGCGCAAAGAGATCATTAATGCCAATTAGCATACATCATTACACAGCTACTGCAGCACCAGAGGAAGAACAGGAACTGAGATTATGAATCAAAGTTGACTACAGCAGTAAACAAAGTCTTAGCGTCATTCAGGGCGACTCGTGAGGACCAAACTGGAGCGTGCGTTGACAGAAACTATCTGCTTCATGGTTCAGAGTAACACGTTAATAGGAACTGTGAAAGGATTTGCTCATCAGCGCGTTTCAACATCGCAAGTCGAAGTCCACATTGGGGAGAAATACGGTATGTTAATGGAAATACAAGCCAGGGTAATAATTCTCCTGACTCTCTCACTGCAAATGGCTTTGGGTGTGACAAGATATTCCGTTATTTCATTTCGACGTTTCTGCTTCCATTGTAGAAGCAAAGGAGGAAACTTTTTTCACAATACAAACATACGATGTACAATTCAGTGGTGAGGTGCAGAAGAATTACGAAGCAACCTCTGTGTAAGTGATGAACCGACGTGAAACCACAAAATAAAGGTGACATTGGCGGCCTGTTTTCTTTAAAAGTATGAGTCACTTTTGCCTCTTCATCAGAATGTCGTGAGTACTGCAAAGTTTATCTAAAGAACGAGGCCGCTGTTTCACATTTTCTAACTAGCCCAATGGATGAAGACATCTATGTGAGGGTGAAGGGTACCTTTCGTTATGAAAACCGAAAAAGAACATTTAAGTCGTATTTACACGCAGAAAAGAAACTCCTTCTCAATTCTTTCGAGTAGCTGTTGGTTGCAATTGCACAAAAAGTAGCCGCTTGAGCGAGTGATTAGCCGAGAGACTTCGAAATTCATTACCTTCGCTAACCCTCTCAATTTAACGTCAAACACATAACTTTTGTGATCCATTATGCGCGCAGAATTGGAGAACACAATGATCACAAAGAAGGGAAAATGCATTCATGAAAAATCATGACAAGGAACAAGGCAAACTTATTTTTACTAGTTAATCTACCTATACTCACTAAAAACAATTTCTAACTCATCCATCAGACAGAATTCAGCTGAAAAATCTTCAAGGCAGACCTTGCCTTTTGCCAAGATTAGCGAGGATGAACAGAACGCTCTGTCTGATTGGATGATGAATATAGGCCTTCAGTTCAGGCTAAGAATGCAACAGTGATAAGGCTCACCTCCTAAGGAGCTGACACATAGTCTGACTGTACATCGAAAATCATATGGACGAAGACATTAGGCAATCAGATGAATGACGGTATGGTCGCGATGGGAAACAACTGAATTTTCATGGCAGTGGACTGTTTTCCAACGTTAACTGTTCGTTAGCAGGTCTCTGGAGCGACGTAATATAAAATTTTGATTGGACAGTGTGCCATTTTTCCAGAATACGAACAGCTTCGAACACCTGAGTACTACTCCACGACAGAGTACACAAGTGGCAGAGTCGTAGCATTCAGCACTCAGACAAGTACAAAGCAGGGTTCTAGCAAGTGTTCGTAATGAATTTATCTTCGCATTGGTTTATATCTGTGTTGTTTCGAGATGTGGCTTAAACGTGAATGTTCGTTCAAGAATGATGCCCAGATAACTTGGTTTTATTTCGATTTGCATACGTTGACTGCTGAACTCCACTGTAGGCTTCTGCTTAACCAGTCAGTTGTTCAGAAGAAATATCGTCAGCTAATCTTCGTCAAGTCTGAGTGCAATTTACATTGGTAAAAAAACACTGAAAAAGAATAATGGAATTAAACTTGGAATTAGCAGCACAACGATTCAAGTCGTGTAAATTGCCAGTTTTAACAATTTATCAATGAGAAGTAGTGGCTTTATGAGAAGTGTCGAAAGTGATTTTCTAAGAGGTTTGTTGCCTGAAGTAAAAGAATGAGCATTATTATGAACATAAGGAAGATGGGGAGCTTTATCATCAGGACCAACGCAGTTAGATCACTGCCTAGTACAGCATTCGAAATCTATGGACAATGCATTACTGGAAAGAAAAGACGCATACTCAAATATTTGATGAAAGTCCCATAAGCTATAATGAAATTTCAAAGTTTCAAACATAATTAATAAAAAAACACGATCCGTTCGTGTAAGATTTACTGCGCCACATAGGCAAAAATTCATACCGATCCCAAGATCCTCATCGGTTCGCAGAAGAAATTTTAAGAAGGGGCCAAATGGAACAGGAATCGAATAAACTGAACAGATTTGACTTTTCACTGAAATCATATATGGAATGCATGTGTATATGAAGTGAATCAACGTGATGAATTGCAGAAGACAACCCTGATTGTAATAGCCAGTATACCGAGTGGAGTACTGTAGCTCCATAGCAATCGGTAGAAAGTTCAAGCTGAAATGATGTTCACAACATACAGTTTATATTTCATTGACAGTGGCATAACAAAAGAAATGCATATTGTCCTAATGACTGTTACTGGAATAAAATTGATTGATTGACTTAGAAGACATACTGAGTGCAATAAAAGCAAACGTTTCTATTATGCCTAAAGTCACCATGTATTGAGAAAGCTGAAAGAGTGAATTGCCTTTGCAAGCACTGAGGTATGACACAACTGTTGATGTTACCCAAATAGTGTAGAAACAATGTTTACGCCATAAACATCCTATACTTATCAAGAGATGATCCTTACTGCTCAAAAAAAGATGAAATCAAGGCCGTTATAAGCTGCAGGGGCGCAGTTTCTCAGTGTAAGCTGTAGCATATTTCTGGAGGAAATTCCTAGTGCAAAACAATTAGCTGCATCTAACCTCCTTGGCTGTTCACGAGTTCATGATTCCAGTAGAATTTCCTTCTTAATGTCAATAATTGTACCTTTTAATCAAATTTCTTTATCTACCGTATTCGATTCATGGAAAGTGTTTCCGAGTTGTACAAATTTTATTTATCGAAATACTTTTGGATATCCTGATAAATATATGCCAAAAAACAGAAAGAAACACACGAAGCAGAAAGGTAATTTTATAATATTCGCTATTTGTCTAATTTATTTGTCGTCAGTTTGTGTTTTCCTTTAACGTACCTTTTAGTTTTGCTTTCGGGTTTGCTCTGCTAGCTTTTTTGGTATTTCATATGCCGTTTCTGAAAACCTGTCGTAACATGGCGAAAATGGATGCATGTTGAAGTCACGCGTTCGCGTCTAATGTGCTGCAGATTTGCTTGTAGAAACGTTAAGCGTCGTTGTTTAGCCTCATTCAGTCACGTTTTTAAATTTGTTGATCACAAACGAGCCGTAAATCATCTAATTCTTAGATTTACTGCTGCTGCTGCGATGATCTGAGAATAGTCAGTGATTTAGTAACTTTGAACACACTGAACAATGAAGAGCCGGCATATTAGCAGATATGTGAAAATGAATTGTGGAAAGTGATTATTGTGATAGTTATGATGATTATCATTTTATGCGTTCGCTTGACAGAATGTCTCCAGTTCATAATTTTTACCGCGTTGTTAAGTTTTAAGCACTTTTGGCATATGCAGGAGATAATGGATCGCAGGATCCAGCCTATCCGATTAGATATCTCTCTGATCTGGTTTAGTGGTTGACGTTATCTGCCAGGAACTCATGAAACGGGTTTCTTAATATGATGGATTTCGTGTGCAACACAGCTCAAAAACTAACTCTTTCCTAATGCCAGAGGTCAAAAGGCGTATTGTTTGTTGTTGTCACCGTCACCTGGAGCATTATTTTGATGTCTGAAATGGTTTTTTTTTTTAAAAGATTGAATGCTCATCTGCTACTGGAACATTGGAATGAAGTAGTACAAAGGTTTAGCAGTTTACCTCTGCTCCATCAGGTCCAACTATGACACCTTCTCGTCAGCACTAAGTGGGAGAACCTTCCTTTCTTCTGTTGTTTTTGCTTACCTGTCCACTATGTAAAATAGAAAAGTCATGCCCATTTTTACCACAATAAAAAATCCGTCTCTGACTTGTTCTTCGCCTATCAGCCCAACGTCGTTAAGCGATGGACCAAAAAAGGCAGTTGAACAGAAATAATACGGTAGCGTTAGCTTCGACGTGTAATGTAAAACGATATATGCAATATCTTTTTTTTCGATGTACTTATTTTAACGTTACGTAGAGGTTGCAGAAAGACGTCGTTCCTTTCATACAGGTGAGTTAAAGTTTGAACTGTTTACCTCAGCATGCAAACTTTGGATGTAGAATCTGAAATACGGCTTAGACCGTAGAGGAAATC